ACTGCCTACTGTAACTGAGTAAAGCATGAGACAACTGGATAAAATCACTGCAAGACAACTCACCTCCTGCTCTGTGAACAATATATCAGTGTAGCAGAGCTGCAAAGGCAAAACAAGAGTCAGGACATCCCATTTTGGTCTCAAATATCAAAATCTGAAGCAGGACACGCAGTAGCTCTGACACACAGCTGAGTGACAGAGGCACAGGTAGGACTGAGCTTCCCAATCCTACATTCCAGTCCCTGAACCACCTTGTCCCCAGGCACAGGGGATGTAAAAGCCCCCCCCTCCGCGTTCCCAGGGCAGGGCAGGGGCTCACTCACGTCCTGGTCGTAGCGCTTCCGGATCTCCGGGTGCGTCTGTTCTATCAGGCAGTCGACAAAACACGTCTGGGAAAGAGCAGGGAAAGGAGGTGACTCCACTCAGGCAGGGGCAAACACAACCCCAGCCCTCCTGCAGCAGCACACAGAACCCTGGGCACGTTACTGTAAAACCTACAGATCCAATCTACAAGAAAACCCACAAATTTCACACGGGCCTGGAGGGACGGGACAAGGGGGAGTGGCTTTAGGCTGAAGAAGGGTTGGGTTACATGGGATATTGGGAAGGAATTCTTCCCTGGGAGGGTGGGGAGGGGCTGGAATGGATTTCCCAGAGAAGCTGTGGCTGCCCCTGGATCCCTGGAAGTGCCCAAGGCCAGGTTGGACGGGGCTTGGAGCGACCTGGGCTGGTGGAAGGTGTCCCTGCCCACGGCAGGGGGTGGCACTGGGTGGGCTTTCAGGTCCCTTCCCACCCAAACCATTCCCAGATCCCATAAGGGAATCAGCAAGAAGAGCAGAAGGTGGTGCTATGGAGAGATGGCAAAGTAAAGAACAGAGAGGTCACCATCACCATCACCACACTCTGGATGTTCCCACTACCTTGCCGTGGTGCAGGTGCCCACACAGAGTCACGTTCCGGATCAGCTCCGAATTGTCCATGAGATCTGCCAGGAAACTGGGGGAGGGGAACAAAACACAAAAGACTGTTGGAGGCTCCTGCCGTGTCTAAGAATAAAGCAGGTGCCGCCTCAGCCACGCTTTCCATCCAAGGTGCCCCCTGAATCCTCGCCAAACTTCCACCCTGCTGGTGCCCTGCGGGGGAAGAATCCCACTTCCCAGATGGGGAGGACAAGAGAGTTGGAGTCCCAGACAGATGGCAGTGGGTGGGAGGATACGGAGCCGGCAAAGCTGCCAGTGATGGAATATTATTGAATATTTTTCTTCCCTTCCAGTCAGTGCTGGAGCAAAAGCCACATCCATGCACTCGGATGATGAAGCACTTCCACTCAAACCGTGGCAGGCAGTCAAGTAAATCACCGTGCTGGATAACAAGCACCCCACAGAGCTTTGGAAGCAGCCAGGGGGTCCCACAGACCATTAATTCTGATTTTCGGGTCTTAAAACGGTGACGTTCCGGGGACTCGAGGAAACAGCAACGGAATTTAAGTCGTTTTGGAACCAGCAACCGAGCTGGGTAATGATGGGCCAAGTCACTTCTGCAGGGATCCTGGCCAAAAGATAATTGAGAGCCTAAATTGCCACCCCTACAAAATAATGGGAGGCCATAAAACATGCAGCCGCTGCCACAGGCCTGCGGGGAGTAAGTGCTGTCAAATCATCTCCCTCTTAAACAGATTAAGTTTTCACTGATGCAGTTGACTTCTTAATGTACAACATTTCGATTAAGAGCTAAAAAATACCGAAATCAATACTAGCCCTGATTAAAAGCTTGCTAATTGGTCAGCAAATAAGGCTGAATGGGAAATCAATGCCCAGCTCGCAGGTTGCTGGCAACGTCCCACAAGGAATTTTTCTCTGGGCCCTAATCCCAACCACTTATATCAACAAACAGGACCAAAAGGAATTAATTACAAATGGGGTGAACACATCACACAGGGAGCAGGGAATCAGTGAGTAACGACTGAGCCAAAGGAAGTGCTGAGGAAAACCAGCCCCTGCAGCTCTGGGACTCTGCTGTGGTTCTGTTGAACCCCCCTGGGCAGCGAAAACAGCAGGGATGGACCCTCCCAAAACAGCCCTGGGAATCCCTGAGTGAGCACCAGCTCCAGGAACATCCTGTTCCCTCTGGAAATCAGGAGGCTGCTGGATGCCAGGCAGAGGGACTGCTCACACCGGGGCTGGCTCCAGGATCCACACGGATCAAAAAACCCTCAAAAACCGGGGAAAGCTCTGACTGGCCATGAAGTGGCACATGGAGAGATGAGCCCGAGGACACTCCCACAGCTCCATCTGCTCATCCCAAACAGGGACAGCACACACACACACACACACAGAGCACAGCAGGGGACACGGACCCTCCGCCCACCACAGCGCACAGGAACGCTGATGCCAAGATCAGATTTTTAATAGGAGTTATATATTTATATATATAATTATGGTTTTTGTTCCACAGCAAACTTGTGTGAGATGTTATCTTTAAGTTAGTTTGAATTATTTTTTTTTCCAGAGGTTTCCTCCCAGTCCTGGTGTCCCAGGAGCTGCTTTGGAGGACAACCAGCAGGCCCCACCAGGCCCACGGTCCTGCTGACCTGCACAGAGCTCTGCAGCATAAAAATTCCCAGTGGGAGTTCCTCCAGGATAGATGGGATCTAATTTGAGACTGGGATCAACCCCAAATGTCCCAATATGATGTGTGCCCCATGAATATTTAACAGGTTGCCCAGAGAAGCTGTGGCTGCCCCTGGATCCCTGGAAGTGTCCAAGGTCAGGTTGGACGGGGCTTGGAGCAACCTGGGCTGGTGGAAGGTGCCCCTGCCCATGGCAGGGGGTGGGCACTGGATGAGCTTTAAGGTCCTTTCCATGCCAAACCATTCCACAAGAATTTCCTGAGCCACAAGAGGTTCTGGCTATGGAACTTTATCTCAACCCTCGAGATGAGATTCCCCCTCTGTGTCCGAGCCCTGCAGGGAAAACATCTGGGAAATGGTCATTCCTGCACTTCCTTCCTCTGGTTTTTGGTTCAGAACCCGGGCAGCAGCTGCTCTCAGTTCTGTGCTGGGGGCCAGCCAGAGCCCCCCAAAAATCTGCCACCCTTCCCAGCCTCCCCCAGGGCCCTCCCAGGGCAGGAGGGACCAGCAGCGGTGACAGCTCGAGCCGCCCCCCCCAGCACTCACTCCATCTCATAGACAGTGACTGGCAGTGTCTGCTCCATCAGGGAGAACTTCTTGGTCTTCACGGGTTTAATGATGGGCTCTGAAACGAGAGAAAGCACAACAAGCTGCACCCAGAGCCCCCAGACCAGGAACAACCCCCAGGAATGGGGAGTTTTGCCACCAACTCCCCAGTTCTCCAGCTGACAGATTCTCTTTATCAGAGCAGCTGATAAAGAAACATCCAACAGGAATATTCTAGAGGGATGCAGAGGGATCAAAGGAGATGACTTAAATATATTTAACTTCTCCTTAAACAACTTTCAAGTCCCTGCTGATCCCTGCTTTTCTGTTTGGGGATTTGGAACAGCCCCGAGTGCCCAAACCCGCCCACACCACCAGACAAACAAGAGCCCGTGTGTGCGTTCCTGGGGCTCTGAGGGGGCAGCACAGAAGGCAAAACCCCACTCCCCTCCCTCCCCACTCACCTGTGAGGGGCTGTGTGTCCTCCTCCTGCACGATGGTCTCCACCTCGGGCCCGTACACCTCCTCAGCCGTGGGGTAGTACTTCTTGTCCTCGTGCAGCACCACCTCCATGCCGGGGTGCTCCTCGTCGTGCTCGCCCAGCTCGTCGTCGTCATCGTCGTCCTCCAGCTGCCAACAGGGCCCACCCTCAGCTCAGCCCCAGCCAGGCACCCCCAGCCCCTCACAGGGGTGCCCCGGGGGCAGCTCCTGGGAGGGCAGCACGGCCCTTCCTCAGGGGAATGAAGGGGCTTGCAGAGACACCAGCACAGGCAGGGACTCCACCCCAAGCTCACATACGGCACAACCCACCCCCCATCCCACACAGACCCACAGGAGATGGGAATTACCCCCTCATTCTCCCCCTTGTGGCTCAGCCTCTTTGCTCCCCCCACGCTCCTCCTGCCCCCCTGGCGTCCCTGGGGTCTCTCTTTGCCTCCTCCCGGGGGGATCTGGCTCCTGCTGCAGCCTCAGCTCCTCAGCAGACCCTGAGAGGGACAGGGAACCTCCCCAGGACTGGAACTGCCCCCCAAACCCAGGCCGGCTGCAGGAGCTCCCTGTCCCCTCCGTGACCCCAGCAGGGGCTCTGCCTTTCCCTCCACCTCGGGCACACATCTGGGGAGTCCTTTAACCCCCAGCCCGACCCCGACCCCGGGGATGAGACCCCAGCCCCGCCTGAGGGCCGGGCCGGTCCCGGGGGTCGCTGCCTCCCCCTCCCCAAACCCCTCACCTCATCCAGGTCCTTGGCCTCCCGGCCCAGCTCGTCATCGTCATCGTCCGAGTCCAGCTCGGGCCCGATGTAGTTCCCGAACTCGTCGTACAGGTCGGTGTCCATGCTGGGGGCGAGGGGGCCGTGACCGAGTGCCCACCCCGGCAGGGCCCGCGGCCGCACCGGGCACCGGCCCCGGGGCTGCCCCTGATCCCGCTCCCGTCCCCTCCCCGAGCACCCCGCTGCGAGCCTTCCCTCTCTCTCCCTCACCCGTCCCCGCTCCCTTCCCTCTCCCTCACCCGTCCCCGTTCCCTTCCCTCACCCGTTCCCGTTCCCTCTCTCTCTCTCTCTCTCCCCTCACCTGGCCCGGTCCCGCTCTCGCCGGCGCCGCCGCTACCGAAGGCCCCCCGGGCTGCCCGCGCCGCCTGTCCCGCCTGAGCCTCCCGCGCCCTCCGGCAGCGCCGCGTCCGAGGGGGCAGTACCGGAGTCGGGCCCGGTTCGGTTCGGGCTCAGTCTCGGTCTCGGTCCTGGTCCTGGCGGGTCCGGGGGCCGCGGGCCGGGCGGGGCGGCGGGGACGCGTCTGTCAGGCGCGGCCGGGGCAGCCCCAGGGGGGCCTCGGGCGGTTCCGTCGCTGTGGAGGCGGGAGCGGGATCGGGACTGTCGCGATAGAGCGGCCCTGGGGCCGGGGGGCCTCGGCACCCAGCGGGGCTGTCGCGATAGAGCGGCCCTGGGGCCGGGGGGCCTCGGCACCCAGCGGGGCTGTCGCGATAGAGCGGCCCTGGGGCCAGAGGGCTCGGCATCCAGCGGGGCTGTCGCGATAGAGCGGCCCTGGGGCCAAGGGGCTCGGCACCCGGCGGGGCTGTCGCGACAGTGAGGGGCCCCGGGGCCGCAGTTGTGTCAGGACCTGTCGCGATAGGAGCGGAGCTTCCCCCTTGCCACCCACGTGCGTGGCCTTTAGGGCTCACTCACAGTGGGAGTGGAGTCCTCAAGGCCGGACTGTCGCGATAAGAGCGGGGTGCGCGGGGCCAGTCCCGGCAGGGCTGCTGTGACACGAGTGGGGTCGCTCAGACCATCTTCGCCAGGGCTGTCGCGATAGTGGAGCGCCCCAGGCCATTCCCGCAGGGCTGTCGCGACAGCAGAGTCCCCGTGCGCGGTGCGCCGTGCCCGTGCTCCCCGGATGGAGCCCGGGATGGATCCCGGCGCGGCTCTCCCGGCCCTGCAGCGGGAGCTGCGGGCGGCGCTGGCCGAGGACGAGCGGAGGCAGCGGGAGGGCGAGGCCAAGCTGAGGGCGCTGCACCAGCGCGTCCCCGACTATCGCGACTTCAGGTGCGGGGGGAGCTCGTCCTGGGGGGCTCCGGGAACTCGGAGCTGCTCCGGGAGGGGCCCCAGGCGGTATCGGCTGGACAGCAGTCCCGGGATCCCGGGAACGGCCCCGGCTCCGAGGACACTCGGTTGTGGTTCAGATTTGTCCCCAAATCTCGGGTGGCCCCGTGTGGGCCGAGCGCGGTCCCTGCTCCGGGACTGGTCCCTCTGGTGCCCGGTTGTCGCCCAGCCCTGGGAAGGAGCTGTCCCCTCTCCAGGACACTGTTGAATGTTCCCATTCCCACTCCAAGCCCCCCTTCTCTCCCCACACCCCCCCGGCCCTGCTGGGGCTGCAAGAGCAGAGGGTTGTGACAGGAGGGTTGTGACACCTGTCCCCTGGCCAGCCTGTCCCTGCTCCCAGTCCCATCACTGGGTTGGGATCAGGTTGGGATGGCAGGGCTGTTCCACAGGGAGCAGTGCCAGGCAATCCAAGTGCCCACCAAACTCCTGGATCCACCTGCATGTCCAGCTGGGACTTCCAGTGCCCATCAATGCCGTGGGTGTCCTGTAGATCCATGTGGGACTCCCAAGCCCCACTGAAGTCCTGGATCCCCTGTAGGTCCATGTGGGACTCCCAGACCCCACTCAAGTCCTGCATCCCACACAGATCTCTCTGGTGACCCCCTGTCCCTTGACATCCACAGGTGGATCCAGGGTTTTGACCACACTTTTTAGGACCAGATCAAATTCCATTCATGGATTCACCTCCACCTGCACTCAGTCACTGCCTGATCTCTGAGAGGCAGGAAAACATTTTGAAGTGGCTTTCTCTACCCCCCAGACATCTTGCCAGCCCCCATAACAGAATTCCCAGGGGATTTTAAGCTGGTTTATCCCTGTATTGGTAAGGCCCTGCTCCTCCAGCCTGTCCAGCCTGTCTGGATGGAAGCAGCTCGAAGCCTCAGAGCGTTTTCTCTTGCTCCCTGTCCCATGCCATCCCTGTTCCCTGCAGGAACATCGTGCTGGCCTCACACCTGAAGCCTCTGGAGAAGAAGGACAGGCTGGGGCAGAGGAGGAATGTGCTGTGGAATCCCTGTGCAGCCCCAGCCAAGGCACTGCCTGCCCACACTGAGGAGATCCCACAGGTGAGGGGGAGACTCCAGGGCCTCCTCCACAGCTGGAAATGGCTTGGGAACAATCTGGGTGTTAGTTGGAACGTGGGAGTTGCTCAGGGACTGTGAGCCAGCCCCCCCAGACCCTGGAACAGCGGGGTTTGGATCCCCACAGGGCTGGTCTGGGCCCCCTCAGGAAGAGTGGGCTCCATCCCTGTGGGAGTGGGGGCTGCACAGCCTGGGCCCAGAGCTCCCAGTGCCTCCCAGTGGTCTCCAGGGACAGTGGGGGAGCAGAGCCCTTCCAGCCCACACTGCTGCAGTCCAGAGATGTGCATCAGCATCCTCCCTGGAACAGCCTCTGGCTGCAGAGATTCCCTGGGCACAGCCAGTTCTTCCTCAGAATCCCAGAACCTGGGGTTGGAAAGGATTTTGGGAGATCACCCAGCCCAGCCCCCCTGCCAAGGCAGGGTCACCTTCAGCAGGTGACACAGGAACATGTCCAGGTGGGTTTGGAATGACTCCACACCTTCCCTGGGCAGCTGCCAGGGCTCTGCCACCTCCAAGGAAAGAAGTCCCTCGTGTTGAGGTGGAACTTTTGGTTTATGCTACTGCTCCTCATCCTGTCTCTGGACACAGTTTATTATCCACAGCATGGAAAAGGGCTGGTGTGGGTTAATCCTGCTGCCTGGTCCTGATCCCTAATCCTGCTGTCTGACTCATGGGATGCTCCTGATTCCTGCAGTGGTGGGAAACAGGGGTGGGACATTTCCTACCTGGGTCATCTGTGATTGGAGTGACCTCAGTCCGGCCCTCTCTCGTGGCCTCTGCCCGTGCTGGAGCGAGTCCGGGATGTTTCCCGTGGATCTTTCCAAGGATTCTTCATGATGCTGTATTTCATTCACCTGTTTATGATCAGGGCTGCACAGCAGGTCTGGTTGGGGTCGGGATCACCCCACACCAGGGGTCACATCTCATCCGCCTTTCCCTTCTCCCCCTGGAATTCCCGGGTCTCTCTGGGCTCGGGACCCGTTTTCCCCCTCAGCAGCTCCTTGTGCTGCCAAAGCCCCTCTGAGAAACACCTCGGGCTGCGAGGGGCGAGGGGCACCACAGTCCTCGAGGAGGAGCAAAGCAAAAGGAGCTGAGTGACTCCTTTCTCCCTCAGGAGCTGGCTCAGCTGCCGGGAACGGCCGCGGAATTCCACAGGGATTGGCACCGGTGCCTGAGGAGCGGGACGGAGCGGTACCGGTTCCTGCTGGAGCTGGGAGGGGACACCTTGTGCAGGATCTTCCGGGCTGACGTGGGCTTTGGCCTCCTGGGGGAATTCCTGAGGGTGCTGGCAGAGAACTTCCACCCTGGAGACGGGGCTGCCGTGCTGGGCGTCCTGCAGGGCCTGGCAGGCACCGGGCGCCTGGGGCTGAACGTGGAGCTGCTGAGCCAGGAGGAGAAGGAGAGCGGCAGGGAATTGTTCAGGAAGCTGCAGGGCATGAGCAGGGAGGGCTGGGCTGCTGGAAAGCTGGGCCAGGAGGCAGGGAGGGAACCCCAGCCCATGGACACCCCCTTGGAAAAGGAAGGCGAGGAGGAGAGGGCGGTGGTGGAGCTGATGAAGCGTTTCCAGCTCGGCTGAGGGGGCAAGAGAGACTCAGAAGAGACTCAAGGCCTGACTTTGGCATCACCCAGAGCACGAGTTCTGCACAAATAAAGTTCTGTCCCTGAGCTGTGGTGCTGTGATCTGTGGGCAGGGTGTCCTCACTGATGGGAATGAGGGGAAAGCCAAGGGAAAGAAAACATTGCTGGGTAGTTTTGAAGGAGAAACCTAAACCCAGATAGTCCCTTCCCTTTTCCACCTCTGTCCACGGTCACTCAGGGCATTCAGGAGATGTAATCAATGACAGTGATAACTGTCAGGTCCTTTTTGTTCCAAAAACCGACCCAGCAAATGGCAGATTCACCCCGGCAGACAAGAACAACCCAACACCTGCTGACAGGATCCCTCCCTGAGGCCTGGCTTTGGAATCAAACATGGGCTTCGTCATCATCATCATATCTTCATCCTCACCCCCCCAGGCTGCCACTGCTGATGGGTGCTCAGGAACCCGGCCAGGCTGGAGCATCCCCCCCACGGGGCACTTGGATCCTCCTCCCTTTGGAAATTTCCAATGCTGTGGCCACCAGCAATCGATCTCTGCCAGCCCCTGCTCGCCCTCCCCTCGGCCAAGAGCAGGACTGATGTGGGAAACTCCCTGTTTTGGCACAGCTTGGTGGGGACAGGCGGGGTTTCACAGTGCCAGGATTTGTTCCAGGTGGGATTTCACACCGCCAGGATTTTGTTCCTGGCGGGATTTCACACTGCCAGGATGTTTTCCTGGCTGGCACTGGGGGTTTAAGCTCAATAAAGTCTTTTTTTTTTCCCAATGAAAACTTGGAGCTGGTGCGAGATGTTCTGGCCAAGCTCTGCAGAGTTCTTGATCCGCATCAGTGATTTATTAGAGTTGTTTTCCTAAAAGGCTGATAAAAAAGATCCACCAAACTATTCAAAATCAATTAATAGTTGCTTTTCTCACCCTTTTTTCCCTTATTTAACTTGTTTTTCTTGCTGAGAACTGTTAGTCCCAGCATCCCAAACCCTTCAATGTTCCTTTGAGCTCCTTCGCTGGAGCAAACCGAATTGTAAACTTAATTTTGGTTTAAACATTTTTTTTTTTTCATTTTCAAAAGACAAAACATATTTTTCAAATTAATCAGGTGATTTTCTTCAGAAATTTGTCTGGTTTTTGAGGGTTTTTATCTCACACAACTGGGCACAGAGTTGGGAGTCAGTGTTGGTGCCGGACACCGTTATCTTGTGCGTCCCCCAAAGGTGGTGGCATCTCTGCAGGGTTTTGGTGGCCACAGTGTGGAGCAGGACGTGCCTACTGGGCTCATCCCCTTTTCCCAAGGACGTGGCTTGGGGATTGCAGCATTCCCAAGACAACAATCACTGCCCAGGAGGGCACTGAGGGTCCCAGCAGTGCCCTGGCACTTGAACTGTGCCGATGATGCGCAGGATCCCAAATCCACCCTCAGCCCCAACAGCTGCAGAGGATCCCCCCAGGAGCTTCCTGGGAGGGTGGAGAAGCCTGAGCAGATCCCTGCTTCCCCTCCTGGGAAGGGGATCTGTCCCACCCCCCTGCCTGGCTGCAGCCCAGGGCATTATCCTGCTCCCCTCCCTGTGTTTGGTCCCTCGTGGGTGTTGGCCCCTGCAGCGTGTCCTGCTGTGGGGCTCAGCCTGAGCACATCCCCACACAGCACTGAGCTCTTTGGGTCCCCCAAGGACCCAGATAACCCCCAAACCCCGTGGCTTGGCTGCAGAGAGGTGGATTCAGGCACGAGCAGAGTGTTCAGTAGCTTTATTGCTCCCCCCGAGCTGCAACGGGCGTTAGTGGGGAATTCACAACAAGGGAGGCTGCTCGTGGGGGCCACGCTGGATTCCCCCTGGCTTCCCACCCTGGGCACCATCCTGGGCTCCTCTAACACCTCCTGCCTCAGGAATGGCCTTTCTGGAGCTGGAGCAAAGCAAAGCTGAGCTGGGGGGACGAGGGGGACAGAGGGATGAGGGATTGGATGTGTCCTCAGGAGGGGCTCCAGGGCACGGGAGGTGCTGCTGGGTTGTTGCTCCCGTGTCAGGTGGCGTCAGGGAAGGCTCTGCTCGTGGTCAGTGGCTGCAGTGAAGGTGGGAGTGGGGCTGGGCAATGGCCCTGGGGGGCGTTGTGCTGGTCTGGGGGAGGACAGGATCTGGGACATGTGCCATGGCTCTGTGCCAGGAGAAGTTCTTGAGGCCACTCAGCCCACGCTGCCCCCACAAACCACCCTGGACACCCCCAGGAGCCCCTCCTGATCCACATTTCATCACCCACTGACACCACCCCAAGAGCATCTTGCTTCTCCATTGTCCTCTTCCTCCTCTGCTGCCTCTCCATCCCCCCCACTTTCCTGCCCCTGCCTCTCAGCTGAGCTCACCAGCCTCTGGTCCCTCTCCAGCGGGTGCCCTGCACTCTGCAGCCCCCCACCCAAGGGTGCTGGGGGTCAGGGTGCCCTGGGGAGATCCAGGGGGGTCTCCCAGACCAGAGAGGGCAGCAAGGTGGGTGCAGGAAGATGCTCTTGGCACCATCATCTCGTCCAGCCCGGTGCACGGAGATCCAAACAGGACAGACCCTCTCCATTGGCACAGCTGGAGACCCGGGGCGAGGCGGGAACAGCCCCAAAACAGCCGGCACGCCGTGCCATGGGAACGCGGCAGGATCCCGTGGGGGCGTTTGGCTCTGCCCGGACCTGCTCACCCCCCACCCCGGGCGCTGCCCATCCCCACCCCACACAGTACCCGCTCCCTGCCAGCCCCAGACAGGCTGCCGGGGGTCCCTGGGCACGGGGTGACGCGGGAGAGGCGAGGGGTGCGGCGGAGGGAGATGCCCCACCCGAGGCACCACCGGCTCCTCCCGTCCCCTGTGCCCGCCCACGGGGCTCCCTCGCAGCGTCGGGCGGGCCCTGCGGAGCTCCGGACCCTCCGTCCTACGGCACCTCCTTGTGCTCCTGCTGGGACTCCTTGAGCACCTGGAGCCGGAGGGAGGGAGGGACCATCACGCCAGGCTCAGGCTCTGCCCCCGGCTGAGCCTGCCGGGGCTCTGAACGAGCCTGGGGACGGGGACAGGGATGGGGACACGGGTGACAGGGAGCTGTGTTCTCTGGGAGCTGCCAGGCTCAGCCCAGCCCTGCTCTCAGGGATCACTGGGATCACCGGCTCCCTGCTCGGGCTGCTCCCGGGGCTCAGGGATGGTGGCCCCACGTACAGGTTTCTAGGGGACAGCCCGTGGGGAGGTGGGGGTGGAGCGTGGGTGACGAGGGCGAGGATTTCCCACCTCTCCATCTCGGGTCTCCACGGTCTTGACCACGATGCTCCTCTTCACGTGGGCTTCTGACACGGATTTGGTGGCCAGGCTGCTCTCTGGGGGACAAGGCCAGGACAAGGCAGTGACACCGTGGCCAGGGTGTGGCCCTTCCAGCCACTCTCAGGAGGGGCCCAAAGTAAATGGATTGGGCTGGAAAACCCTGAACCATGGGAGACAGCGGCCCTGGGGACACGACCAGCCTCAGGGACAGTGTTGGCCCCAGGGACATGATTGGTCCTAAGGATGTGGCTGATTTTGGGATGTGATTAGCCCTGGGGACACAGTTGGCACTGGGGACAGTTTTGACCTTGGAGATGTCACTGACCATGGGGACATGGGTGGTTTTGGGATGTGACTGAGCTTGGGGACAGGCTTGTCCCTTGGGGAGCACAATTGGCCTGGGGAAGGTGTCCTTGGCCTCGGGGATGTGGTTGTCACTGGGGACGTGGTGATGTGGTCAATCGGGCTTGGGGACATGCTCAGCCTTGGGGATGTGTCCATGTCACCCTCCTCCCCCCATCCTGGGAGAGCCAGGAGTCCTGGTTCCTTGAGATTCAGAGAAAAACCTCCCAGTCCCTCTGGATGGGGGAGGGATGGCCTGGGTGAGCCCCCAGAAGCCACCCCTGCTCGTGCCACCATCCTGCCCCCCCCACCCCCTACCCCACAGCCTCACCTCGGACCTGCAGGTTGGAGAAGCTCTGCAGGGGGATGGTGATCCTGCAGGACCAACGGGGCCGTTGGGGAGAGCAGGGGGTCCTGCTGCCCCCCCAGCTCCACCTGCCTGGGCTGGAGGATGGACCCCAACCCAGCCAGACACCCCTGAGGGACCACGAGGACCTGGAGCCCCTGCAGAGCCATCACCTGCTCTCCTCGCCCTCCAGCAGCTTGCGGTACGTGGCGATCTCCATGTCCAGGGCCAGCTTGACGTTGAGCAGGTCCTGGTAGTCCTGCAGGTGCCGGGCCATCTCCTCCTTGAGGCTCTGGGTGTCCTCCTCCAGCCGTGCCACCGTGTCCCTGTAGCCGGCCGTCTCCAGGGCGTAGCGCTCCTCCAGCTCCCGCAGCTGCCTCTGCAGGGACTCGTTCTGGGGGGCCACGAGGGGCCGTGACACCCTCCATGGCCACCTTCTCCCAGGAGCTGGGGGCCCATCCCTGTGCCCCTCTCCCACTCCTGGGGAGCCGCCGTTCCCCAGCACTGGGTGGTGTCCCCCTGGGGTTCCAGGGAACCCCGTGGTGGTTGCAGCTCCCCAAGGCCGTGTCCCCGCTCTTGCCCCTCGTGGCCATCACCTACCGAGCCCCTGAGGGCCTGCAGGTCGCAGGTGAGTGCCTGCAGCTGGCGCCGGTACTCGTTGGCCTCGTGCTTGGCGGCGCGCAGGGCCTCGCTTTGCCGGGCGGCCGCATCCGTCAGGTCCTCGAACTGGGACAGGGACATGTGCCATGGCGTGGCACCACACACAGAGGGGTGTGTCCCGCTGGCACACGACCCTGCCGTGCTCCACAGGAGGGACGCAGCCCCGGGAACACGGAGAAACATCCCTGACGTGGATTTGGAGATCCAAAACCCCCTCCCCACCACTCAACCCCGGCTGAGCAACCCCAGCCCCAAGCAGGTGACATTTTGGGGGGTGGGGTGGTGACAGCCTGGCCACCCCTCCGTGGGGCCACCAGCTGGCTCTGCACCTTGGACTTGTACCACTGCTCTGCCTCCTGGGCGTTGCTGGCGGCCACGGCCTCGTACTGGCTGCGGATGTGGCGCAGGGCGGCCGTCAGGTCGGGCTTGCTGGTGTCCAC